TGCTGATTCATATACTCAGTGACAATATCTACCTCCATTTTTCAATTGGACTCCAAGTGCACCCCAGCCTACTTGGATGACAAGCTGGAAGTATTTTAAAATTTAATTTGTTGGAAGCCTTCCTGCCTTTCCAGCCACAAAATAATTAATTCACAGGTTTGTATTCTCCCTTGTATCCAGCTTTGCTGCAAATAAAAAATTAATCTAGAGGCATCCCTCCTGCAAAACTGATATTAATCAAGAAGTGATTTGTGGCTGCATGTAAGCAGTGTCAGGTAGGGAAGGGATTCACAGTGTTCATTCTGTTCCACTTACAGAAGCATGACATGAACATCAGGTTCATGTGCTGATCCACAGTGAGCAAGCATTGCCTCACACAGCTGTTCTTTTGTGAATTTTTTGCACTTCAGATGTGCTCCCTGGTTGTCTTTGTTCTGATTTTAGGGTGGTAGCATTCAGTCCTTGATGAGACCCTTCTGGGTAGAAGCTGGAGAAAAAAGCTACTCAACCATAAACATCGGCTTGGCAGGCTACTCCACTGTCTTTTTTGCCATTTTTTTTTTTTTTAAATTTCATTTGGTTAACACAAACAGATATTTTGAAGGTGAAGCCATACCATAGAAGTGCTCATATTTTCTCAGATTGTTTTTATCCCATCTTGTCTCCCCACCTCATCTCCAACCCATAAGGGGAAGTTCTTTCAGGTCATGCAACTTCTTTTTCATGATAGACCAAAATGGAACTCCTATACTATCTTGCTTACAGTGTGAGGTGGAGGTCTGCATACGAGCATGCCATCTCCATGTCCTAGTAAAATTCTAATCATTAGATTTTGTGGGAGTTTTATGATTCTTTTCAACAGAATATGATTTCTTCTTAAACTTCATCCCTTGCACTAATAAATTCACTTTCTCAAGCAGTTATTTAATTTCACTTAGTGTGTTATATTTTAAGAAAGGGGGAAGGAGGGGAGATGCATCAGGAGAATGTCTGAGGACACAAAGGTTTGCTTGTGGTTCATATCATGGCATGCTTTATTTCCTCATTCTCCTTAATCCTATTTCCAGGTAGTAACCTAGGCCATATAATAGAAAGCTTATTAATGCAGGATCACATTTACATCTTTCTAATATTCTTATACTTTTTTTTTTAGGTTTCATCTGTGCATTATAGAATTTACATCAGCAAAGAATTTAAGTATAAGCTTAATCTTAAACCTGTGCTTAACTGCTTCATTATTCCACACAATATGTGAGTTTATGATTAACACTTACTGAAGTAAATTGGAGCTTAGAATACCCATAGCAATTTTGCTGAACTCCAGCTTACCTCACAAAAATTTGATTTTGGAAAATTTTACATAAAATCTGTTTATTGATATTTTTCAGCTTTTGTTTAGGATTCAAGTTAATATTCTACATTAAAGTGCAGAAGCACACCTCACAGCACTTTAGCCTTTATAGTTCCTCCCAAGCTAGCAGCTTCTGCAGATTAATTAATGTGCTCTTCATTTTCTCCTCTAAGTCATTAGTGGAGGAACCGAATATAACCTGACCTCCTTCTCCAGTAGTAAACCAGCAGTGATTTCCTCCTAAGTCACTATTTGCAGCTCTTCATTTCCCTTGTTTACTAGCTTCCACCAGTGGTTATTCTAATGATAATATTCATATTCAAGCCAAATTTAAATTAATATTCAGAGAACAGCTTTTATGGAATGCAGTATCAAAGGTTTTCCTTAATTAAGTGGAAATGTATATCACTTTATGCTTTTTTTTTACCCACTAATTTTATAATTTTATCAAAGAAACAATCAAGTTTATCCAGCAAATCTTTAGTAAATAATTTTGCTGCTTAGCTCTAAAAATATGGGAATTAATCCTGAAGCTTTTTCTCACAAATATTTTTCCTTATCCAGAGTGGAATCAGTAGTAAAAGTAGCAAGAGAAAAAAACTGAACACAGATCTACAGGGTTCTGATATTACAGTTGTATTATAAGAAATTAGGTACTGAAACAAACAAACAAAAAGAATGTGGATAATCTATTGATTAGGGCTTTCTTCTTTGATTCTGGGGATGCTGTTCTGGTAAAAGCTTCCCAGCTGATCCCTGATAAACCAGTCACACTTCTGCACCGTACCTCTTCCTCTGTAATGTTTACATTAAAGTCCTCAAAAGTACTTCTTCACCTCATGAGGGTGTAATGAGAGAAATATAGCTTTTCCTTAGCAAGCAATGCCCCCATATTTCTAAAAGTCAAAATTCTCATCAAGTTAAAAATGTCTAGTGTATACTACTGTCATGAATAGTAACATAGGGCAGAGTGGACATGGATGCATGTATAGATAGCATCATTCTAGACTTCATTAGCTATTTTAAGTGCCAAAAGCAATTAAACTGCAGCAACCTGAGCTTGCTAGTGCCTATACAAGCATGTTGGACATGCTTGAAAGTAATCTGGCTGTCAGAATTCTCTTCACTGCTACCCCTGTGCTGTCAGTACCCAGCCTAGTATTGGCATGACCACAGAAGATGCAATTATATCCATGGATATTGAGTGATAAATATACTTTGAAAATGTAGCAGACAGTTATTGGGGAAGAACACAAACATTGGCACAATAACACAACATGTGCAGTTGCAGGAGGTAAGTGTATATAGCAAGGAATGCGAAAGAAAGTAGAGACTAGCCTGAACTGATAGCACAAGCTTCACTTATCTCACCTTCTGGAAGGCTCAGAATAGGGAATTCAGAGGGTTAGGCTTTCACTTCTTGATCCTCAAGGGGAAAAAAAAAACCAAACTAAAAAACAAAACCCTCAAGATTATTATTTTTTCTTTTAGTAAACTCAGATACAGGTTTTAAAATCCTCCTACTTATAACCTGATGTCTGTGTTTTGAAGGGCGATTTTAGTCCTTAGAACAGGTACAGTGGAGTAGAGACAGCAATAGGAACATTAACAAAATTAAAATAGAGTATTTGAGTTTTACAGTGATAACTTTCATAGATTACTACTGAATCAATAATAATCTTAGTGATTTCAAATCAATTAACATTTTTGGCCTAAGTGAATGGTAATCAAAGGACAGAGACTATAGCATAAGGTTTTCTGTTATTACTGGTAGGGCCTCACAACATTTTGTATGAAGCTGAGGTCATTAACACGAAGGCAAAAAACAAGCAATGAAAAATGCTTTTTACTTGTCACTGTTCTCCATGTCTTGACAGTGACATAATCTAAACTCAACTAGAGAAAATGGAGGGACTTTCTTCCTATTCTGTTTCTATTTTTCCATATGGAGGGCTCTTTTTAGTGAATTGAGCTCTGTATTCTGCATATCCCTAGCTCCACATTGTCATCATCCTACTGCTAATATATAATCTCTGAGAAATATAATCTCTTAATTCTTTTACGATAAAATAACCAGTACTCCTTTCAAGCAAAATTACTGTTCCACGTGAAATGAACACTGGGTTAGACATTTTTCTGGGATCATTGTAAATCTTTCTTTCTAAGAACTGTTTGACTTTTGGACTGGAACTTAGTTCTTAGAAGAGTACTTACTGCACTAATGAATTCCCATTGTTATAACAACAGAGAAGAGCTTTTAATTTAATCATATCTAATTGGCCTATGGCAGAGTAGGATTTAAGTATTTGTTCAGTAGTAAGTTAAGCCTCATGAAGTCTTTAGAGGTGACAAGATACAATAATAACAGTAAGATAAAAAGTGTAATAAGACCATTGAACACAAGTAGCCTCCTGGACAATGATTAGATTGAAGAGCTATCAAGTAAAAGATCTGCCTACCTTCAAGCTGTCTGATACTCCTTTCAAATGCAATTGACAATTCTAAGAGGGGGAAAAAGAATCATTTATCTACACTAAAGTTATGATAATGATTTGTTAAACCCTGGATGAGCAGCAACTCTTTAGGACTTAATTTCTGAAACAACAGTCAAAAATTTTAGGATGGATTTAAGGATTTGGGGGATTGAATTTGTTTTTCTATAGGTCGAACTTAACAAAGACATAACCTATATATTCTTACTAGGTTTTCCTGGTTAGTTTTGTTTTGTTTTTTTTTCTTTGTGTGGGGAGGACAGGGTGTCTTTATTTTAAGGACCGGTGCAGTGGATTCATTTTTCCTAGTTCAGCATCTCTGCACCTTTCATCATGGAAGAAATGAAGAAATGTGCTATGAATTCCCATGCAGTCCTCCATCATGCAGACAGCACTTCCCACACTGGTGTTTCCAGCACAGTCAGTGTGTTTTCCATTACCTGAGATGTTAATGAACTGATTACAAGCAGGTTGAGGAGAGACCCCAGGGACCACCATCAGTTCCCAGGCCCTTAAGTTCTTATAAGGAACCAGATACCATTACACCCTGAGTTTTTCAGTCAACTGTGATGTCTTGTATATCAACGTTTCCCAGACTTCTTACAGATGAAAACCCCTTTTCTGACTATCTATTGCCTGATGATTGTTCCCATAGCATCTGGGAATGAGGAAAAACTAATTCATTTCAATCTTTGGTGGGAGATCAGGTCTTCCAGAGCAGAGGGGCAAAATCATAGAATCATAGAATGCTTTGGGTTGGAAGGAAGCCCTAGAGGTCATCTAGTCCAACCCCCATGCAGGAGCAGGGACACTGCTAACTACATCAGGTTGCTCAGAGCCCCATCCAACCTGTCCTTGAATGCTTTCAGGGATGGGGCCTCCACTACCTCTCTGGGCAACCTGTTCCAGTGTTTCACCACCCTCATTGTAAAGAATTTCTTCCTTATATCTAGTCTAATCCTACCCTGGTTTAGTTTAAAACCATTACTCCTTGTCCTGACACAGCTGGCCCTACTAAAAAGATTTTCCCCATCTTTCCTATAGGCCCCCTTTAGGTATTGAAAGGCCATAATCAGGTCTCCCCACAGCCTTCTCTTCTCCAGGCTGAACAAGCCCAACTCTCTCAGCCTGTCCTCATAGGAGAGGTGCTCCAGCCTTCTGGCCTGCCACTGCACATTGCCAGCTCATGTCCAGCTTTTTGTCCACCAGCACCCCCAAGTCCCTCTTTGCAGGGCTGCTCTTAATCCTTTCTTCCCCCAGCCTGTATTGATACTGGGGGTTACCCCGACCCAGGTGCAGGACCTTGCACTTGGCCTTGTTGAACCTCATGAGTTTCACACAGGCCCACCTCTCCAGCCTGTCCAGGTCTCTCTGGATGACATCCCGTCCCTCTGGTGTGTCAACCGCACCACTCAGCTTGGTGTCATCCACAAACTTGCTGAGGGTGCACTCGATCTCGCTGTCTAACTCATTGATGAAAACATCCCAGTACGGACCCCTGAGGGACACCACTCATCACCGGTCTCCATCCGGACATCGAGCCATTGACCACTACCCTCTGGACACGACCATCCAGCCAGTTCCTTATCCACCGAACAGTCCACCCATCAAATCCATAGCTCTCCAATTTAGAGAGAAGGATGTTGTGGGGGACCGTGTCAAAGGCTTTGCAGAAGTCCAGATAGATGACGTCTGTTGGTTTTCCCTTGTCCACTGATGCTGTCACACCATCATAGATAGCCACTAGGTTTGTCAGGCAGGACTTGCCCTTGGTGAAGCCATGCTGGCTATCTCGAAATACCTCCCTGGCCTCCATGTGCCTTAGCATAGCTTCTAGGAGGATCTGTTCCATGATCTTCCTGGGCACAGAGGTGAGGCTGACAGGTCGGTAGCAAGAATTGGCTGCTGACACATTTTAAAAAAAACCCTGCTGCCAACAAACCATCAGCATAACTCATATTTTGTTATTTTTGTTTTGGTGTACCTTTTACTTTTTTGATAACAATTTCATTTTATTTTTAATAATTTAATTAACATTTACAATAATTTCTTACAACTGTTTGTGATTCTTCTGGAGTTTGAGAACTGCAGTTTAACAAAAATATATTTCCTGTGTTTCCCTCTTTATATATGATAGCACTTCAACAGAGGAATGGCAAAAGCCTTTTTAACTCAAATATATTGAGTCTTGTTTATTGCCTCCTTACCATCTAGTAGGCAAACTGTCCTGACAAAGGAAGAAATTAGTATATTTTTTTTCTTTCCTATCTTCTTATTCTCTAGGTATTTATGCATTGATTGTTTAAGAATATAGTATATAGTATAGAGTATCTTCTGGGATGTTGTAGTTAACCTGACTGGTCTATATAGCTTTACTTCTTCCTTTGTGTGAGCCTGCAACCATACTGCAGTCAAATACAATTCAGGTTTAAAATATACAGCCCTGGAAATTTGAGGCACAAAGTACCATGAACAAAATGTTTCTGGTGGGCTAGGCTTTCACTGTACTTTGAAAGTGCCTACCACGTCTGTGAAATAGCTTGTAAAGATTAAATGAAGCTTACAGTGGAAAAAATAGGATATATAACAGTGTCTAAACTTTAACTGGGTGCAGGTACCCAGGTGCCAGCAGCAGCAGCGGGGGCTGTGGGGCGGCCCCTGTGAGGAGTGGTGGGGACCACCCCGTGCCTGACACAGCTGGTTCCCTCCAGCTTCAATAGCCCCACTGCAGGGCAGGGCTGAGCCCCTCAATACATTCAATTAATGGGCAATAAATTCAATTAGTTTTCCTCAAGTCTGTTTGCCTGTGACAGTTATTGGTAAGGGATATCTCTGTCTATACCCATGAGATTTTTCGTCCTCTCTTCTCCCCCTGTTGAGGAGATGGATTGAGAGAGTGGCTGGGTGGATGTTTGGCAGACACTCAAGGTCAACCCATCACAAAACAGCACATGCAGTTCACAGTAGGTATGTAGTAACTAATATAGGTCTTTTAGAACAAATTCCTGATCCACTGGGAATTCAGTGTCAAACCTTTTATTAACTTCTGTACACACATAATTTAATCTAAATTTTTAGAATATTGCTGCATTAAAATTTCACTTGGGAAAAAAAGGTAAAGCCCAGATCAGATAATACTTTGTTAAAGCTGAGGGAACAGTTTCATAGATAAGCCATTTGTATTACTGAGTAATTTTAACTATTTAAAACACATTAAAGTATCCCAGAGAACTATGTCATCTTGCAAATAATTTCAGTATCTGAAGTAAAGAAGACTCCAACACTCTTTTGAGAGCCTGACATTTAAGATCTATTCATATGAGCTATCTTGCTCCATCCCCTTCCAACCTGGTCCAGCTGCAGTAAAAGCAGTGATTTGTGGTTGGAACTTACCTTACACTCACAGTCATATTCTGAAGAAACCTTTCTCTAGAGATGACAGAGAGCCCAGTGGGATTAAATTCAGTAGGCTAGAGTTAACCTTGTGTGTATCACCCTTACTATGTATCTTAGAATATATGCACACCTTGTTGAAGAAGGAAGAGATGATGAATTTTTTAAGAGACAGTTTCATCAAAGCATTAATTATGGGGCTTATGCAAATATTTACAGCCAAGAATTTTTAAGCCTAATTAATAAGCAACTCAATTCTGTCAGCTGACAGGTATAAGGAGAAAGCATAGCAAGAAAATCCCAATATCAGTAGAATTCAAAGAACTTTTTCTAACTTTTCTTGTACTATTTCATGAGCTTTCTGATCATTAAAGTACCATTTAAGCTATATGGGGATTTGAATTTTTAGCTTTGAAAACAACAAGAAGAGAATAAAACTATCTAGGAAATGAACACAAACTTCCAATCTTAATTATCATAAATTAGCATTCTCATCAAAAACTACAAAGGTTACAGTTCCTTTATTTTCCCACTGTTGTCACTTCAAGTAATTTTATCTGGACAGTATTTAAACTTTGATTAGAATTAAGAGTTTCTAGAGCCCAATCTTGTACACACATGTTGTATCAGTTTGGGTTATCAGTTATTAAAAAAAACCCAACAAATAAAACCAACACAGATGACACCAAATTGAGTGGGAATGTCAACTTGCTCGAGGGGAGGAGGACTCTGCAGAGGGACCTGGACAGGATGGATCTATGGGCTGAGGCCAACTGTATGAGGTTTAACAAGGCCAAGTGCTGGGTCTTGCACTTTGATCACAACAACCCCATGCAAGGCTACAGGCTTGGGGAAAAGTGGCTGGAAAGCTCCCTGATGGAAAAGGACCTTGCAGTATTGGTCAACAGCTGACTGAATATGAGCCAACAATGTGCCCAGGTGGCCAAGAGGGCCAATAGCATCCTGGCTCGTATCAGTAATAGAGTGGCCAGCAGGAACAGGGAAGTGATCATGCCCCTGTACTCTGCACTGGTGAGGCCGCACCTTAAATACTGTGTTCACTTTTGGGCCCCTTACTACAGGAAAGATGTTGCAGTACTGGACCATGTCCAGAGGAGAACAACAAAACTGGTGAGGGGTCTGGAGCACAAGTCTTCTGAGGAGCAACTGAGGGAACTGGGGTTGTTTAGCCTGGAGAAAAGGAAGCTGACAGGAGACCTTATCGCCCTCTACAACTACTTGAAAGGAGGTTTTAGCCAGGTGGGGGTTGGTCTCTTCTCTCTGGTAATGGGCAATAGGATGAGGGGAAATGGCCTTAAGTTGTGCCAGGGCAGGTTTAGGTTGGACATTAGGAAAAAGTTCTTCACCAAAAGTGTTGTTAAGCATTGGAACGGGCTGCCCAGGGAAGTGGTTGAGACCCCATCCCTGGAGGTATGTAAAAGACGGGCAGACGAGGTGCTTAGGGACATAGTTTAGTGGTGGTTAATGTTTGGTTAATGGTTGGACTTGTTGATCTTAAGGGTCTTTTCCAATCTAAGCAATTCTATGATTCTTTGTTTCTAACAATGAGTTATCAGTCACTATAACTTGAGCTTTATGCTTTTTGCAATTTCCAGGTGGGAATTGATCTGACTACTTTAACACCTTTTAATACTCTTACCTTTTTGTAGAAGTACATGTAACTGTCGGTGTTCCTCCCACTGAAATTTGCACAAACATCTACCAGAAAGGAATGATAACCCAATGATTTAACTATTACCACAGGTAATAGGTCAATGATGAGTTACCTGATGTGTAATGATCATAGAATCATAGAATCATAGAATCATAGAATGTTTTGGGCTGGAAGGGACCCCTAGAGGTCATCTAGTCCAACCCCCCTGCAGTGAGCAGGGACACTGCTAACTAGATCAGGTTGCTCAGAGCCCCGTCCAACCTGGCCTTGAATGCTTCCAGGGATGGGGC